TTCTTGTGAATTTTTGAATGATCTTATCTATGCTTGGGATATCTATTAGCATTTTTTGATGCCTACAACATTATCCTAAGCACTCATTTATCCTATGGCTTGCCTCTCTACCCAGGCTACTAACACAAGAAAGATTGTGTAGATTACGAATACTAAACACTAATCAATGTGTTTTGTGTTCAAGCAATCGTCAAATAGAATCTTGTTATCATCTCTACTTTGAATGTCAATATTCTGCAAATGTATGGAACAAAGTTATGAACTGGCTTGGATTTAACTGGAGGTCATGTAGCTAGAATCGGCTCGTAAACTGGTATAACATGAACTTAAGAGGAAATGGATTTAAGAAGAAATTAAAGAGGATGGCTTTGTCGACTTCAGTGTACATGATATGGTAGGAAAGGAATCTTAGAATTTTTCAGCAAAGAGCTCGAGAACCTAACATATTATTCCGTATAGTGAAGTTCATCATTTACTCAAAAATTTTGAACGTGAATGTTCCCATACATGTAAGGGAGTACTTAGAGGGATTGTTTGAGTAGCCTAAGTGTTTTTACTAGGTTTTGTTGATAATTTGTGATGTACTTCTTACCTGCTTACTTGGTAATGAATAAAATCTTTTTCATTGACCAAAAAATAATAATAATATCATTTCTAATGGGTTATGGTGTTGTTCAATGAGGTCATTTAGCAACAGACAATATCCAAAATGCCTCGAAATAATGCCACCATTGACTCAGACTTAACTAAAATTGTGACTAGTAGACAAAAGGGCATTGTGGATACTTGTCATGTTCTATTCTATACCACCTTAAAATGATAAGTTCCCAAACATGGGATAGGTATTAGAGGTGTTGATAACAAATTGGACCAAACAAATTATTAAAATTTTAACTCACTATAGTCCTGGTATTATTCTACTCAGAACTATAGTGAGTTAAACTAATCTCAGGATAAAACAGGTCCCCAATCCAAGCATGGCCTTAATATCCCTCCAATTTATAACCTAATACCATTGTACTTGCCTTTTTCTTACATTAGATTTGAATTTTCAGCAGATTTTGCAATCATTTTGAAGTGATAGATGTCTAGCTCATCTGACAAGTTTTCATGGGAGAAATTGATGATTAAAACATGTTCTTGTGACTGCAATGCAAGGTTATGAGTTGTAAAACCAACGGATTCATATTCTATGGGTGCCAAAGATACTGAGGCCATTGGGTTCTTTATTGTTGCAAGAGGTTCCGTTGAAGAAAAGAGTAAAACCAGAAGAAGAAAAAACAAAGACCTAACAACCCCAATTAGTTTTATTAGGGTTAATCAATCGGAATTAAGCCAAAGGGACTGATTTCAAACAGCTTAAACAGGTTGGGGGCCTTATTTCAAAATATAGAGATTCAGTGAGCTTGCTCAAAATATATAAAATTTGCTGGACTAATATCTAGAAAACCTAAGAGGGTAAAAGTCGCAGCCTTATGTCATCCATCATTAGCATCTTGAATGATCCCTCGTAGTGTTGTTCTAGCGTATCTAAGTGAAGAGGAAGGTAATTGTAGGTTATCTTCTCACATTCATTAGTTGTTCCCAATTCCTAAAAAGAAAGGAACTACATCCAACTCACCTCCTAAAATTTAGAATTTAACTTATGGCTGCCTCCTAGAAAATCAAAACACTACCAAACTCAGCATAAACATCACCATCACCATTATTCAAACACCAAACAACTCCACAAGCAAGCTAGAGACCTCAACC